TTTGCTTATATTTGAGAAACTAAGAAAATACTGAAGAATCCTCCTAACAGAAACAAGTTTCTTAAACCAAGCATAAATCTATGTTTTTGTTGCTTATCTACAAAAAGCTGCGGGATGTTTTAAAAACTTCTCATTTCATTTTCACATCTCATTTTGTAATGTACACAATCTCATAATCTTGGCTCATTTTTAAATTAAATTATTACTTACCTTTTCATTTAAAAATAAAAATTTCTGTAATTGTACAACTTTTTTCTTTTTCAGTGCCCACTCTTGCTTGGCAGTCATGGGGTGTACTACTTCTCCTCTCTATATGGGGAAAATGACTGCTCTACTGCTGCCAAAATCAATCTTGTCTGTAATAAGGATAACTACTGGGTGATCTGTTTGAGCTAGCCAAACAAACGATAGACATATGAGAGGGATTCAAGTGGCTATCCACAGCTCTTTTAAATTAAACTGACACTGGGGAAAATGTTGTGTACCCAACTCTGCTTCCTATATACTAAGTATTTATAACTGGTTCCCATGAAGATCGCATACTTGCATAATCAAACCAAGAATTAGGAAAAAACCCCCCCTGACTTGCATCTGACAGTGAAAGCTCCCTTCCATTCCAGAAAGAGAGTGCGGTTACAGACATCCCAAAAGATGAGAGCTCATCCCAGAGCAGCTACAGGTCTTCCTTCCTCTCATACTACCTGAGGAAAGGAAAGGGAAATGGCCTCTGAGTTTCTGTGCATACACTTCGTACCCCTCTTCCGGCAGTTATATTTCCTGACATCTGTTTAAGTCTCCTCATCCATCTACATGGAGTGAAGAAACATTCTGCATGCAATTATAAATCTTTCACATAAAATAAGCCTCAAATGCTCAAATTGACAAAGTCTAATATAAATATTTTCTTGTAGGTGAGAGCAAAAGAACCGTTCAGAGATAATACCATCAAGATAGAAGAAACAGAGACAGAAAGACTATGAAAAAGCTGCACGTGCATAACAGGATTCTTTAAAGTTCAGTTCTTGTTAAAAAGAGAGGACTTCTGTACTGTTTAGCATACATAACTATGATCACAGTACAAAGCCCTCATAATTTCCAATCACACGTGTACACACTGAGCCACAGTAAGGCTGAAGTACTTTATGAGAAAGTAGGAGAGGCAGGAGCTCCCACCTCTGAGTTTTGATCTAATCTGCAGTAAGTAAATGCCCCTGCCAGTAACCTGCAACACAGGTAATTTCACTTCTTGATAAACTCATGGAAGAAAAATCCACTGAGTGCTATTAACTGTAAAATTCCTATGTCTGCATCAAGATATCTCTAAGTCAAAGATCGCTGGAGGCAGAACAGGATAGTCAGAGAAGCATCACTGTGTATTTGCCCTGTTCACACCTCCTCCTGCTGGCACACTGCTACTGGCCAGAGACGGAGCCCGTGGTCTGCATCACTTCTGACATTTATTTAGTTTTTCTTCAAAAAGTATTGCTATTTATCCAAGAAGCTCGAGTTCTACAGAAGTCCCAATTCCTACATGGTGGGATGGCATTCAACAGTGGACACAACAATACAGTATACAGTCACTAGTTTAGCCACAGATTGTGACCAAAAAAAAAAGACCAATACCTGAATTGAAAAGCAAACTAATGTTCTGTAGCCGACCACAACAGCATAGACTAATCAGACTGTTAGTCCATTAGTAAAACCACAAGGTTTCACTCCAGCAGCTCTGAAACAGTAATGGGTTTTCCCATGAAAACTTGAAAGAAAAAGGTGAAAAAAGGTTTGTGTGGTATGATGGAAAGGAATGCCAGACACAGCTTTGGTCAAACATTCCCATTAAATATTTTCCCATTACCCACTAGGTTCATTCACAGGCCAATTACACTGGCTATTTACCAAGGAGGTTTAAGATAATGTTTACTGCTCTTTAGTGTTTTGCAATTTTCTAAGCTTACCAGCATTTCCTTTAAAAAATCCTTGTGAAATTAAAGAAGTAACACATTAATGGTTTATGTTGTCTCTTCACAGTAGATTTTCTGTTATTCTGATTATATACACTAAACTGGTATACAACTGCCCTCAAAAAGTCTTATTATTTTCATTTTGTACTTGAAATAAATGACTGATGATGCCCTTTTTCTTTAGCAATTTGGACTAAATCCAACTGAAATCACTGAAATTATTTTCATGAGGAATGAGAGGAGATCAAGCTCTGCACAGATAGATATTGGTATATTTGTGCTTTTACTATACATGTTGGCATAGTGGAACTTCATCTATGCAATGATTAAAAAAACCAAATAGAAACAGTGAAATTACATATTTAAGCACTAGATCACATACAAAAGGTAAACAAGTATGATATTTAGTTACAGAAGACAAACTGAAGTCTTAGACAATATTACGTGTTTCTCTTTAATTACACTACCTGCTATCTGCTGAAAAAATGCTTTGATAAACTACAAGATATTAATCTACCAATTTATAGGCCAATGATCTTTCCACCAAACAGCATGTACTGCTTACAAAATACAAAAGCCAGCTTCTTGAAAATTCATTTGTTTTTAGCATGCCTTTATGCATTTATATTTCATCAAACACTGCAATTTGAGAAGAACAATAAAAGAACACTAATGAAAAAGCTGAAAGATACAAACAATAGAAAGATTTTGAAAAAATATACTGATTTTATAACACCACTTATAGTAATTTTTCTTCTAGATTCTTAACTGTGTTTTTCTTAGATGTGTAGCATTGAAGCTGGAAGCTAGACAGACTAATTGTAAAGGTATTATTAGTACTGACTCACTGAAAATTATGTCATAAGATCAGCATTTCTAAGGCTCAATTCTTTACCTATTACTTCCATTATTTTCATTTGATCCATTATATTCAAAGCAGGAGAATGACAGTCTTAAATTTTATAACTACAAATGAAGAAAAACAGCAGCACTAAAACTCTATAGACAAAAGCAATTTACTACAGTCTTAAAAAGTACCATATAAATATCACCACCTATATAAATTTATAGTATAAAATTATGAACCTGTTGAGATTTGTACACATACTTAAATTTTTACTACGTGAGTGGCCCCAGTGAAGTCGCTTACTGACCCCTAATTTTGTTGTTCCAAGTTTCCTACTGTTGGTTCTCAGCTCCATGTCTCTTTTGCATTTTGAAGCAGAAGAACAGAAATTTACCTCTCAATTCTGAGAGAAACTGATAGCAAACCAATCTTTTCTGGAGTCTCCTGTAGCATCATCTACCTCGGCAGGTAAACAGACCCTCTATTTCAGAGAATTAAAGATCTGTTTTACTGGGAGACAAAGTTAGCAAATGAAAATGATATGTCCTTTGAATGCAAAACAGGTAGGCTGGTGAGCAGTAATTCTCACCATTTAATTTCTTTCAGAGATACAGGATCCACCATTGACAAGCTTCTAATTTTTGCAGTCTTAAAGCTCAAGTGAAGTTTCTGTACACTGGCACTGACTTCACCACCAGTAAATGGAGATGCCATCACGACCACATCCAGACACCTAGCTCTAAGGAGTCCAAATTCGCTGTGAATGGAATTGCTAAGCTATTTTGTTTCCTGTGCCCAAGGCCAGAAGAGCTCCTACAACAATCTACCTTGTGCACTTATCTTACGTAGTTGTTCTCCTTTTCTCTGTCATGAAGTTTCAGAGGGGATACTGAGGCATTCATGTTTTGTCTCAGAAAAAGGTTATAAATACTTGGTTATAACATTTGTATCAAAAAATAAAAATCCACTAGAAATCGTTATGAGTTAAGTTGAGGTTTGGTAAGTTCCATAGGAGAAAAATTTAAAATCCAATTTGTGCTATCTTTGGAGAAATTCTTAGTACTAAATAAAACTTCCAATGTCATACAAAAACTGTATTTAGAATACATGCTTGAAATAAAAACAGAGCATTTTTTTCCCCTCCAGAAAAAATACATGCTTTCTGCTTTGACATGAATTCTGCATTTTTAATTTGCAAGACTGCTGGCACAGAAATGATGGATATAACAAATTCATCCATAAGCAGATTTTGCTTTAGGATGAATTAGAAGAGAAAATGGGATTTGAAAAGAAAATACAAATGTAAATTCTGTATAAATGATCTCCAGCACAAGGGGTATTGGTCCACTATGCCAGGAAAGACTGCTGGGCTGGGTTAAGAAAAGTGCAGAAGGAGAAAACAATACCCTGAAACAAAGCAACAAAGTTGCTATCTGACAGACTGCAACCACTAACGGGACTTACGCATATATTGCCATACTTAAGCAATGGCAGTTCTGTTTGAATTTCTCCCACACCTGTTTGTTATAAACTATAAGCTTACTTGTGCCCACCACAAGAGTGAAAGGACCTTTTTTCAACTATGTTATTGTTTTTTCCTTCTATACAAGGGAAGAGGTAGGCAGTTCAAGCCATACACAGACTCTTCTGTATTACAGATTCACAATTTTACATGTTTATATTACCGGTGAGAATGGTATTTTTGATGGAGGGATTCCTAATGATGCCTTCCTTTTGCCACGAAATTGTTGCATTTACACAAGCTAGAGTCCATTGAAATACATTCTATAGTAACCACAAGTCTAGTGTCAGGGACAAGTAGGAGTTTTGTCACAATATGGCATTTCATCATGATAACTGGTGGAGTAAACAGCATAAACATGTAAGAATTTTAGGATTCATGCCTCCCTTCAGAGATCTAGAAGGGTTCACAGAAATCCTTGGGAAACACAATGGTAACACCAAAGCAGCAATTTCCTAGTGCTTAAACACCTCGTCCCAAGATTTTCTTTTATTTTAACTGAAAGGAGAATAGCACCTATTCAGGCCACTCTACCTCTATCTATTAAATACTGAGCAGAAAAATTACAGCAGTGTTAGTAGGTCATCACCTGTATAAGGGGAAAAAAAGCATTTGAGTATGATTTCATTCGTATTTTGAACAGTTGACAAAAGAAAACTAAAATACATACCGCATCTGTAACTTCTATCTCATACAACTTCTGGAATGTCTCCCGATAAAAGAAAAAAAGCTTCCCGCTGCCACCACCTTTCTTAACAGAGGTGCCTGTGACAAGTATTTTATCATCAGGGCTGAAACAGCAATCTGTCCTGTTGAAGAAAACAAATCATCATACTGGGCAAATCAGTAAATAATATATAGGGAACTTATATATAAATTGCACTCCTTAAAAATAATCCTTTCTATTTGTTAATCCTTTCAAGGCAAAGCTTTAAAAAAATCTTTTTTCAGCTGTCATCTATTACTATAGTTATCAGACAGTTCACATGTACAATTACAGCTGTGCACAGAATGCGCAAAACTGACAGATACAATAAAAATCCTTCTCCCAACAAAATTCTCCTCTGCTCAAAAGTCTTGTAAACTTTTCAACATGAGAAACAAACAAAAAAACTATTTTCAAATCTGGTTATCATCATTAAGTAAAAAAATAAATCAGTCGCGAAATCTGTTTTTACTGATGATACATTCTTCGATGATGCAAGGCAGGGTGTTTATACAGTGGCCAAAAATGTTTGTGTTTACTTTTCCTCTATGCTACACATTGCAATCAAGTTGAGCTGTCCATGACCTGCCTTCCTAAGATCTTATTTCAAAGTATAAATTGTCCTTACAGTTGGAATTGGCTGTGCTACAGCTATAGAAATGCAGGTAATACCAATAAAATATTAAATACAATACTTAGCACTATGCAGTACTATATAGTATTTTAGTACCAAAGAACAGTCATCAGCACTGCTAACATCATAACCTGAATTCATACCATGCACCTCATGTTATGTCTACTTTTCAATTCAGCTCTGTTTTTATTAATCATAGACCAAATAAGAATGAGGATTACTTATATATCTCATTACACAAACATAAGGCAATGAACTGGCCTTCTCCTGAAAAGTTGCTAATCAAATTAGGCATAAGACATATGAGACTGAAAAAATCACATAAAACAAGCAAAGCTAGCTATGAAATATCAAAAAAGATACGAGATCTTTTAAAGCAATATGAAGTCCTAAAATAGCCAAGAATCCTCATTGCACAGTTCTCCCTGAGCAGGCCTTTCTGCACAGTTCTGGACCTAGTGAGAACTGAGGAGGAGAACTCCGGCAGACTCCCTCCCGTTCAGCACAACTACTGCTATTTCTAGGAGCTGGAATAAATTACAGCACTTACATTGGAAAGAAGCTGGGCAGGTTTTCTGCTGAATTAAGGGGCTTTTTAAATTGTCTAATATCCCATATCTTCAAAGTATCATCTCCTATGAAACAAAAGGGACGAAAGTTAGCAATAAAGAATTTGTCAAGAATTTAGACGTACAGAAAATTCCATCCTCTAATTCAGACACAAAAAGAACAGAATGGTATGATAGAAGCATTCAAAATGGGGATGGTTTGGAAGTTTTTTGTCCCTAAGTGACTATGAAAGTGCATGGATAAGAAGTTCCACCTGCTGCACTCCAGTAGATCAGAAACTTCTCCTCAATGGCTCAACTCCATCATGGCAATCCCTCCTACCAAGAAGCATTATCTACAGTGGAGCGAAATTCCCCAAATACTAACTTATTCTGTGTTTGTGAGCGTTGGTGCTTTGCTACTAGGAGTAAATTTAACTTTTAAGATATCAAAAGAAATTAAAATATTACCATGGATGGTCTAGATCAAAAAACTGAACAAGTTTTATATGTCTGGTTTCTGCCTGCCCTGAAAAAATTATCAGAAAGAATGGAAGGCACATGAAGCGTTCCCCCTTCTTTAGCAGGCAAACAGCAAGAAACTGCAATCTCAGTACAGACAACAGGCCCTGGAATCAGTCAGAAATCCTTGGGGAAGGGGGAGAAGGGAAGCAAGTGAACGCACACTTGTTATAATGAAACATTTTCAGACCCCGCCACACCACCTTTGGCCATAAAAGCTAAAATTGAGGTTACAGCAAGACATTTATACCAATTCTCATCTGTGTTTGATAAACATGGTGTGACTGTAGGCCAGTAAAAGTCAGGCTGTTTATTCCTTTTTGAAAAGTTATGACATATTAACAAAGTGAGAACAGGGAAAAAAAAAAAGAGATTAGTTAATTATTCTCAGAGAGATCTACATCTCTGCTGATCATCCCTCTGGGATACATATTTCCAGCATGAGATGAGCTACAGAATTTGAGCTTTGAAGCACCTCACTTGGGCACCTAGACATCTCCTTGCATTTGACATCAGTGCCTCAGTGCTTTCAAGGGTGAAGAGAAGGACTTTCAAACAACAATTCTCTTTAAAATATCCAGAGATTAATTTTAGACAAAAAGTTACAAAATCCTCCAGACCTAGGAGGAAAAGGAGGCAAGTGACTGGTAATCCACAGACCTGCTTCCTTCCAAAGCACAAACCTTGCAGGGAAGTACTTCTGTTGTCTAAAACTATTTTGTGGATTCACAGCCCTGGATCAAGAGCTTGAAGGAGGCCTTGGAAATAAAACTTAAAAAAAAGTAACATGCTGTAACAAAAGAAATCAAGGCCAGCAGTACCCTTTACAGGGAAAGCAGTAATGTGTGGCCTCGTACATCATGTATGTTTATATTAAAGACTAGGATAACTCCTTACTACAAAATATTTTTAAGAAGTGGACAACTTAAATAAATGATATCTAGAGCAGAGTGTATTTCTGTTCATTGGGAAGCTAAAAAATGACAAGAAAGAAAAATGTTGAGTCCCTATTTTGGGAATATCTGTTTTGTTATTGTGTCCCAGTAGACTCCATCCCAAGCACTTCAAAGCGTTCAGTCTTGTAATATGAACCCTCCCTTTTTCCTCCCACCTCCAACAAAAAAAACACTTATCAGCAAGATGTTATATCTAAGGCACCAGCACTTTACAAATGTATGCAAATGATACCGTTTGGCCACTCTGCAGATCTCCTGGATAGGGACAGATCTAAGGCTAGCAGCCAAGACTGTTCTGTTCCCAGTGGAATAAGCCTTGACATGGTCTTCAAGCTGCAGTTCTGCCAGGCTGATTTTTTTTCTGTTCAGGAGATACTGACCAGGAAGGCAAGTACATGGATGCAAATGGGCCCGAAAGAAGCAAAAGTGTTGCCAGAAACTCAAAAAGCCTAAAGCCAGCAATACCCTCCAAGAAGCTCCTATTTTAAAGAGGGAGTCCTGTGCTGAAAGCAAAGCTCAAGGACAGAAATTCACAAAGATCATTGGGGAAAGCAAAGAAACATAGGACATGAGAATTTAAAAAAAGAAAAGGCAGCACAGGAAAGGCATAGCATAACAAAGCTTACTGTGAGGGAGCACCAAAATGCATTATGTTTATAAACTTTGAGCCTTTCTGTGAAGGCTTATACTATATATGTGAGGAGAAGCACCTTACAGAACAAGTTATATGCTTCTGCATTCTGCACTGGTAACGCAAGAGGAGCTGCAACAGCTACAGAACGACCTTCGGAGGCACCGCAGGTTGGGACCACACTCACCTCAAGCCAAAGGCCTTGGGAGGGAAGTCACAAGCGGGGGATTCTGCACTTACACTTGGAACAGCTCTCACCATCACCTGCATGCATACCAGCCTGGCCAAATATTTAAGTGCATCAGCCGCTCTAAACATATGGAAGTGAAGGATACTGGAAGACTTTGATAAAGCCATTTCAGCTCCACGTATTACAAATAGTTGACTATGCCTGTTAAAGCTAATGAACACATTTTTGGCATTGTTTGAAATGAACATCAGCGTTCAGCTCCTGAGAAATATTACTTGATGTAAAACCATTTGATTTTTAAAAAGCTAATGTTTCTATTTACCATAAAGAGCAATATATTATTACTCTACACAAAATACAGGCACTGTACACGCTGCTGCACAATCCTCGAGTATACAGGAAACTGTACTCGAGGTGTTTCTACTTTTTAAACCAACTTCAAAATGAAACGTTTTATTTTTCCTCAAGAACATTGTGAAAAGAGAAATACAGCTAAAACTAAACAAAACAAAACAAAACAAACCCACCAAACCAACACATCAAAAGGAAGTACAAGAAAATAATTTTTGAGCTCAAAAGAAAGCATGTATCTGCGTAAGCTATCTGACAGGCTTAGATGTGAATATTTTTTTCTTGGATTTAACTATGGTGAACTTATTTTCCTATATAAGTTTACTGATTAAGATGGCACTGAGTCTGCACACTGTTCATACCACAGAAAATAAATGAACCAAAACTTAAAATGAACCAAAATGAAATCAAACTAATAGCTATCATGAGATTCATGGAATTAATGAAGTCATTGCTTCATATTATGACAAAAACGAACTCCATAAATTCTGCACATACCAGGAGTCAAAACAGTTTTTTTAAATTTTTATAATAGGACCCCAAGTCCCATCCTAATGCTTACCTCTTCACTGCTAAACAAAGAAAACGTTCCCCAAATACTATCTTCACTGTATTTAGAAAAAATTACTTTCATGGTTACAAGTGTGCAAAAATATCACTTTCTTAAGTTTCTGTCAAGTTACTACCTTTACCCAACAAGAGTAAGACTGGGAACTCTCATAAGCAGCTCCTTAACTTTTAATTTTCCCTTGTGCTTGCAGCTGAGCCCTGCATCATCTCTCTCGTATCCAACACTGAATCTACATCAGATGCAGGAAAGTCAATCAGGCTTTCAGCGAAAGTCCCCATTCCCCAAACAACTATCCTCTCTTTGATCCTCAGCATTTGGCAGGTGTGTTGATCTATGAATGCTGGATCCACATCTGCTTTTGTTGGTACAGATCCAAAGAAATACTCATATTAAAGCACTAGCCAAACAAGTCAAAATAAGGTATGAATCCTCCTTATTCTCTAGCATAGCGCACACAGAGCTTTTTTTTAAAATACACTAGACAAAGGTAGCACTTTTATCCACACCGAGGGGCCAAATTTCTGTACAGTCTTACATTCTGCAAACAATCAATCAACATTTTATACAGCTTAGAACAGAGCGTGATAGATAAAACATAAGTGAAAGTCTGTTTAACACGACACAAAATCTGGAGACAGATGAAGAAGAGCAGGCAACCAGAAGTGCCACATGCAATAAAAATAAGCAAAGGTCATTTTTGTGATCTACATTCATAAATGTGAAACATAAAAGAATTTACATAAATGGAGGTTTCAAGACAGCACTAGTGAATATTCCTCACATAAGTATAAACCTTGTTTGCTGTTAATATTTAAAAGCACACTGAGGTTTTCTCTTTAAATCTTATAAAGTGTGTCTGTGTGCATTTTTCGGGGGCAGCACCACTGGCAGACAGATGCAGCATTTCACTTAGCCCAGAACAGAAAGACAGATGGTTCACCTACTTTCCAAGGAGGAGAAGGTTTTCCCATAGTAAGTGTCTGGTTCGGGAAGGACCAGCAAGGTTGAGAGTTTTTATATCAACCACTTCAAACCCATTCATGGTGAGTTCATCATGAACTCACTGTATGAGTTCTACAGTGGCAGTAGAACTCTGGATCCAGGAGCCTCAACAGCAATTAAGAAACAATCCAAGTACCATTAGCATGCCCTAGTAAGCATAGGGCTGGCAAGGACAAGACTACCATCATCTTACTCTGAAAGATGTGATCTGGGGAACATAATGTTTGGAATCTTAGAAACATGGCAAGACATACAAAGAAGTCAGAGAGGTAGCATCCAATAGCAGCTGCATATCGCTGTAAAAGCCACCAATGCCACTCTACTCATCAGGGACAGGGACGGGGGAGGATGCAAAGCAACTGCAAGCTACAACCCTTGGCTTGGACGCACATCCCCTGCTTCAGAGCTTTTGCTGTCTATGAATACCTCTATCCTGGTATTTCATATATGTAATCTCATTCTGTCTACATACCAAACTGACCAGATGTCGTGTACATATGTTAGGCATAATGTTAGCCGACATTAACATACACTGCCTCTCCCTAGGCCTGTTTCTTTGGCCTTGAGGCCATGCTAATGCATACACATAGCTTCTGGTTACAGCTGGTTTCCATCCAGACAGCTCAGATTGTATGCTCGCATCTGCCTGCAAAACACTGGGTAGACAAATCTCTGTATGAAAAGCCGTCTTAGGCAGACACTATCCAATACATCTAATATTGGAGTGAATGAGTCTTCAAATATATCTTTGCCTTCTTAAGACTTGTTCTGTTACCTAAGATTTTTTTATAAAAGTTTTATCTGAAGTTTAAAAAATAAGCATTTTTTTCCTGTCCTGTAGACATCTCAAATTTTTTTGCCATTCAAATACATCTTGGCCACTCACTTCCTGTCATCACCTCTTGATGTTTGTAATATAAATTAGATTAAAATTCCAATTAGAACAGAAAAGGACATTGCATAAGAAAGCTGCATGAGGAATTAATAACTCCAGAACAGAAATACTGTTACTGAGAGGCAGTATTCTTCCCAGAAAGAACTAAGTAACAAAACTGGTCTTGTTTTATTTTTAATTAAGCTAATAATTTCCTTTTGTTGTATTATTAATGCTAGACAAGAAGACAGATTGGGAACTGTGTAATATAAGTCAGCAAAGTTCTCTTAAAATGTTCCTCAACTGCTGTAAAATGCACTTTCAGGAACACAGTATCGCATGGTGCATCAAAATAAAAGATGTAAATTGTGAAACACTTCAGGTTTAAATCACTAGCATCTGATTTCACTATCTTACCTCCATCATAAACAATTACATTTACTGATGATATGATATAAATGGTTTGTTTACTGAATCATTTCACTTAGTAAAGTTAAAATTGTCTTACATTCAACACATCAAAGGTTTCTTTCAATCACCTACCTCCCCGGCTGGCAAGGACAGTACCATCATAGGAAAACATCAAGCATGAAGTGTCCGTGCCTGGAGCATGGGCTTGCCTGCAGTGGAACTTCGTGTGTACCTGTTTGTCAAACAAATATATCATTAGAAAGTTTTCTTATTTCAAGATGGGACAAACATTTCTTTATAGCATCTTGTGTATTCTGCTGCTATTCCTAATTTTAAACAGAAACCCCTGCATTTTTAGCAGGTACAGAAGCTAAATATTTCTACAGCTTTTATAAAATGTCATGTATGCTTCAGAATAGGCCTTCATAATAAAAGCTTGAATGCAAAATTTGACTTTTTCATAGGTTTAATTATACAGTCCACATTTACATAGCATCAGCGCTCTTGGAAAACTCCCACTAGCAGGCACGGTAGTTACACCTCGTTAAGATAAAAAACACATTTTAAGACAGTTCTCAACACTCCCCTAAGCAGGCATATAGTTACAAAAATTATCAAAATACAATATATATACTTTGGAAAGGACTCAAGAGAAGGATTGGAAGAATTTACTTTTGACAAATTTAATCCCTGACAAAATTCATGGCTTATATAATAGAAAAAAGCTCAGATATTCTGAGGTTTGTGTTCCATTTTGCTGCAAAAAAAATTCAAGTTTGGGAATGATGTATGTTTATTTTTAATTATTTTGCCGATAATCCTAGAGAAAGGTAGAAATTACTTTCAAGTTAACGTTTTGTTCTGTATAGAGCTGGCTTCTTATTTATTAAGTCACTAAAAATGCTATTAAAAAGGGAGGAACATCAAATTAATTTTTAGCACTTTTGTAAAATGAAGCTTTCCTACTTCCCAACCAAAAACAAAGGTCTCAGCTAAGATAACATGATGCCTTTCATACACAGGAAGGGATAATGGAAGAAAGGGGAAAAGACAGAAACAGCGATGAAGGAATTTGAGACAGGCTGACTCCTTTTTTAACACCTAGGAAATTACGTTTCTCATCTGCCCTCTTTTCCTAACATAAAACTAATTCATAGAGTTGTAAAATAAAGCATTCAAGAATTAAAGGTTGCCTGTGCAACTGGTATTGCAGCTTCCCATCTGTAAGATGGGGATTAAAACATGTCCTTCCTCATACAGAGGGGAAGACGACAAATTAGTGACCTTAAATTCCTTTATTTACCATAGTGATGAGTAAGCCAGAAAAATATGCACAGAAGCATATCCTTTCAGAGGAGGGTTTGAACAGCATGCAGTAAGTCAGATCTAGAATCACACCCTGAACAGTAAGAGGACAAAATACTGAGCAGCTGCTTAGTGATTACTATCCCATGTAGACATAAAGAGACACAGTTCTACAGAATAAAAAAGGACGATGTGATCACAAAATGCAAACACATGGACTGAATTAAACTTGCACAGGAATCCTCAGTTACTGTGTCTCCTACTTTTTGACTATGCACCTTACTAAGACTCTTTTTATGGGCTATTTTGTTTGAAAAAGACCCAAGCTAACAAAGTAATGTTGTTTACCCTTTCAAATATTTGTTCTAAATTTGGTCCAAAAGCTAGAGAATCTTTGTGTGATGACATTAATAATGATTGCAAGCTTATTTTGGTGTGCAGATTGAGTCAAGTTTTGAGAGGAGTCACATAAGTCATTCCCTCCACAAATGACTCTTCAGCAAAGGAGAACTTCAAACACCAAGTGAATGCTTCTTACAGCATTTGTAGATAGAATGTAATAGCCTACATTTAGCCATAGCACTTGTTTTGAAATTACTATCATTTCTACCCAATTGTGCATGTCCCGGAGAAACTCTATGAACAGATTGCAGTTTACAACTGTATTCTTTGGTGGAGGTGTTTATATATACTAATAAACGTATTTTATGCATCCAATTATATAAAATTTTCCAAGTATGTGGTAACATATAAACTGTGAACTGGCTATCAGAAAATAAATTTTCTGTAACATTTGTTAAACATTAGCAAGTAATTAAAATGATGTATTTTCTGCCTAAGAAATACCATGGACACTTTCAAAAACATCATAAATGGTTAATAATCACACCCCAAAAAATGTCAGAAAGATTACAACGTGGTATTTAGCTATTTCAAATAAATTGCAAAAACTTCATTAGGGCTCCACAACACTTGTCTACTCAACACTCCCACCCTTCCCTGGCCATGTCACACTGACATACATGTATTAAAATAACAGTTCTTTCATTTTGCTGCCCAACTTAATGCAAGGGTGGGGTTGTTTCTTTCATTTCATCCTCAATCAATCTGAAATTCCTTCCTTTTGTTTTGTTTTGGATACAAATTAAAGAAAATTATTTGGGGTCCAACTAATGCCATTTATTTTTTACTAGTAAAAAACCCAAACATCTCTATATATGTAGATAGATAGATAGATAGATAGATAGATAGATAGATAGATAGATAGTAAATCACATAATGTTTCAGGAGTTTTGCTATTTTTCTATGGTCAAAGATACTGATTTTATTTAGCATGAATTTATGAATCCATTAATCAAACCTAAACTGTATCTTTCAGGAATTAAACAGCTCACCTTAAATATGTCACCTACTATGGAGCCTTCTCAATGAAGTACCTATACTTCGACCAGTTCTTACCCTTTTTCAGCTGTCCCATAGAAAAAGAAAAATGGCAACATACAGATATCCAAGACTCAGACATTATTTGCCCCTTAATCACAAAAATGAAAACAACAGAACAAATTTACCCCAAGTCTATCCAGCTTCGATGCCTTATGATTTCATGTAAAATGAAACTTGTCTGAAAGAGACAGTAAGATTGCATCAGCAATTCTGTTTGTCTTTAAAAATAAATTTGCTCAGTTTACCAGTAAAAAGGTTGTTTTCCTAACTTTGAGCTCTGCAAGCTTGCCCTCCATATATTATTCTGCAAAGGAATATAACCCTGAATTGTAATACTAAATCAAATATTCTAAAATGATTGAAGGTTGCTCTAAAACTGATAGAAGGTTAAACAAGAAGTTTTTACATATACTGGCAAATGCTCGTTGCAGTTTTCAAAGAAAATAATGTGTTTGGCCTCTGGCCTCTTAACATTTTTAACAGATGTCTAATCTTGCTAACAAATCATTAGCAAAAAAATTATCATCAGAATGTTTCTTGCTGGAAAGACATGAAACAATAGAACGTATGTACACAATTCTAAACTTTGATTCAGGAAAGGAAGGAGAGAGCATTGAAACACTAGATAAAGATGTAAAGATAATTAGGGCAAAGTGTATCTATATTTCTCCCTCATTACCCCTCTCTTTTTGTTGCAGATGTGCCTGCTCTTATGGAGTACTAGTCATGTGCCATACAAAATCTGACAAGTTCATCAGTCCTTAAAATTTTTTAAAGGTTTAGTTATTTCAGCAAATTCTGCAGTAACACACTCTATCTTCTGCAACTTGTTTGAAGATTTTCTAGCAAATAACTCCAGTAATATAAGCACTTTCTTTCTAGCTTTGTATTAGCACATATATTTTTGTTAAGCAAGTACAGCTGAGTGGACTTGTTGGCAACATGAAATGACAGGCAGAAAACATGAAGCACATGTGAGATAGGACGCAGTTTCATGTATGAAAAAAACTAGCATAACAGATAAATGTCAGGGTTTGCAATATCGCCACAGTCCTCATAGAGAGGGTGAGAACCAGAAGATAAAAGAAAGCCAGAGAACGGATTGGGAAGAAGGAAACATTTTTAAGAGAGAGAGAGAGAGTCCATGACTGGAGTGTCAGTAATGAATATCCTTTGTACAAAAATCTGGGTGGACTGAAGAGGAGCAATATGGGAAGTGAAGACGACAGCGGCCACGTGAAGTGTTTATCACAAATGAATGACCTACATCAGAGCTGCATGGTTAGAGTTCTGCATCACACAACTGCTCTCCTTCTCCACAATCCTGAATAAAACATGTTCTAGGAAAAGCAGAAGATAGACCTAGTCAGTTTGTTCACCTCAGAAATCCAAGCCACATCCACTAGAAAAACAACAAAATGCTTAACTAGTGAAATTTTTGAACTTTCCACATTGTTCCTAGGATACAATATTTCACAGTAAGCTGACACTTTCCCAAGATTATAATGCTTCCCCACCCACCTTTTTTCTTTTAATGAAAGAACGAATGTTCCAGCCAAGACATTCTTCTTCCTTCTTGTTCCTAACATCTTCAAGATTTTTTTTAAAACCAGAGACAATAAATTAAGGAAGGCCTTGGGGAAAGTGAGATCTACAAAGATTGCTATATGTTTCCCTGTATTACAGGCACATAACAAAATTTTACTCATTTATTAGTGTGAACCCAGTCAACCATGCAACCACAATCGTGTCTACTGCAAAAGGAACTCTATCCAACACTGAGTGTGCCACTAGCAATGTGCAATCTACTCCAGTTTGCTCCAGCACAAGAAAGGTGTATTCTGAACAGTGAATCTCATCTCTAGGGATGCTCTCCATGCTGGCTTACCAGTTGTTCGCCCTCTTTCACATCAAGGAATGCTTCCAACGCTCCTTGAGAAAGCTGGAAATTGGGATTTACTCTGGTTTCAAATGTGAGGCAGAAGGGCAGGACTAGCTGGGCAGGGATGCCAGACAGGCAAGTCCCAAGCCATATATGGCTGTTTGAGACTTAAACGGGTGATTTCACCTCAGATACTTTCAGCAAAATAAATTAGCTGACACTGACAATATTCAGCTGCAAAAATGATAATTTTAGTAAACATAAAGCCTTCCAAGATAACATATTATCATAGGCCAGTCTCAAGGTGACAAAGGCATGAGCTATAAAGCTGCAAGAAGAAAACAAACAAACAAACCAGAAACCTTATTTTTAGTCACAACTGAGCAAAGCTGTCCAGGTCTTTGTTGAAAGCGATCCCATCAGAGACAGCCAGCAATCTCAGAGCTGTGATCACTGCTGACAAGACAGACAGGTTCCCAGGACACGTTACACTCTCCAAATGGCTATTTCCCCATCCCCCCTTCAGTCATCTCTACTGAAGGAAGCACATTTGCTTTGCTTTCAATTATAATCCAGAAAAGAAATGTAACTGTACTTTCTGG